TGAAAACTATCATTTGTTAATTTCATATATTCCTACTCTCCGCAAATGGTTCGCGGTATACATTAATTTCATGATGTGATATGTTTTGATTATCAAATATCTTCATAATATATAGATCATGAATTTATAAAGAAATAGTATTATAGTACATTTATGTAGCGGAGGGATGTGGGAGAATGTTAATAGCGTTTGGGAGTATATGTCATTGAATGTTAACAATAATTGCATGTTGAATTTCGTTTGGGTATAACATATACTAGGTTGATTAATTTGGTGGCTAGAAAATTCACGTGGTGTATAATCAAATCAAGTTATCTTAAAAATATTCGGCAATCGACATTGTTGTTTATATAAATGATGATGACCGGTTAAACAACTATTTACATAATTTTGTTATGTGTATTACATATATGGATATGGATATGATGTATGTTGTCAATCTTGGTGTGTATTGTTTAGGCAGCAGGGGATATGGTGGAAGAGGATGGGCACCTAGAAGCAATCAGATTCCAACTATGATGGTCTCTTATACCGGCCCTCGGTCCTTTTAAGTATGTTAACCAACATATGCGTAAGAATGTTATCAATAAGGAACCTACATATGATATTGTTGCATCTAGGATTGCTAGTGGAGATGGTATCCTTTTGGGTAATGATGCTAGACCATCTTCATCTCCATCTCTATTAAGTAAGGATTATGAATACTGTAAAGGTATATCAAGGAGAATATTGTTGGGGATTCAATGAATGAAGACATCTTAGTGAATGAATTTGATGTGAAGAATGAAAGGGGTAAAAGGTATGGACATATAATGATATAAAGGATTTTTGGTGATGCGTCCCTCGTTTCCTAACCCAAAAACCTACTATTGTACAAGCCTACCACACACATCTCATTTCGTCATTACGAAGAAAAGAAAATTGAAGTTGGCGTTGGGGTTGGGGTTAAATGCATTGAAGAAGGTTTCAATATAAAACAACAAAGTGTTAAGGTATATAGGGTTTATGGTAGAAATTTGGATTCCTAGTGGATCTTGTAAACTCGCTTTCCAAACCGATATTTCTAGCCTATGTCCAGGTTACAAGAAATCCGATCTAGGATAACCCAAATGGACACTTACAAATCTAGGTATAGAAACGTAAGCCAAATTGTTAGAAGAATTATGAGTTCCTCACAAAATAAGAAGAGTTAGGAAAAGGGGTATGACGGCTCAAAGAGAAGAGTCGTATTTATACATGACAATTAGGGTTGCATTTTAGGGTTGTCGTCTTCTGAATTAGTCAAGTAAGGGGTCGTTTGATATGGTGTCTAACTGGGTCCAAAGAGGGATTGGGTCCAATAAAAACCAATTGGCATGTTTGATAGGGATTATAGAGCAAGGGACTCGGTCCAATATGTGGACTCGGTCCAACAATTTGACAAAACTCGGTCCTTGCTTTCCATTCGATGGACGGGGAACAAAAAAAAACAATACCCACATTGCCCTATTAATTTCGCACGGCTGCTTCTGATATCATCTCCCTCCCGCCGATTTTTTCCCTCGACGACGCAACAACAATAGACGATCAACAACAAGAGCCGCAACACAGGTAATAGTTTATTCCTTCCTTCTCATTCCAGAATTTTTTCATTAAATGGTCTATTTAATTGCTCTTTGGGGCATTACATATATTCAACTTCATCTCTTCCTCCTAATCGTGAAAAGTGGACCAAGTATATCAGGGGAGATCAAAAACTAGATTTATGATTTTTTGGATGTTAGTATTAAATGCCGGACTTCTACATTGTATTTTTTTTTTGAGAAATCTTGTGACACAATTTGTGAAAGAGAAGTCATCAGGGGTGATTGTTAAAGTTTCTTCTACAAGTAATATTATCATGCAAGATACTTCAGATTAAACATAAAAAATTATAGGGCAAATTCATGAATAACAAATTATATTTGTGTCTAAAACAAACATTCTCTAGTTTATTAAGTAAATACAAATACTCAATGATGACACACTTTGTTACTTTGGCAGATCGAAAGTCCAACTAAAATACAAGAATAAAAAAGGATTTACCATAGTGGACATATTTGTATGTATATTGGTGTATACGTGTATATGTGTATATATTTGTGTATATATATTTATGTAACATGTTTAGCATTCATTTATTCCTTAGACATGGCAGAAAAGAGAAGTAGAGCTAGTTGGTCTTCGGATTTTTAAATGGTGAACGTTAAATATTCATGCAAATTATTATGTTATTTTTATTTGTATTTGGATTTTGTATGACCATTTGTATTTGGATTTTAAATGATGTATGTTTTATTTAGATTTTATGTGAGAGTTTGTATTTGTATAATTATTTTATCTAGCACAACGTAAGGGTAATACGGCCATTTTTCATCATTCACCACAGTCAGTCAGATAAATAATCAAACAGCATAAACTCAGTCAGATGTAGACACAATCAGAAATTCTAACCCAGTCAGCTGTAACCCAGTTAGCAACTATCAAACGGCCCTAAACTTAGAATTAATGGCGTCATCAATGTTTCCAAAACTGTCGAGATTTGCCAATTTTACCATATTCACCCATTAGAATTCAGATTTTCCACCGCCACGGGGACTGCCCCTTGAACCCCGCTAGAGGCGTTGACCCTAGGACCCTGCAAGGGGGAGCGGCCCCTTGACCCCCGCCATTTTGTTATAGTGGCTTATAATTCAATCTCATATATGTGTGCACTCTGCACACTCCGAACATATAATGTAGAGTACAAATTATAAACCTCTTAGCTCACATATTAGTTCCAATTACACAAAATGTCCAGTGAAACTAAAATCACCAACACAAAGTCATGCAAAAACATGTTCAAAAATATGAATGATCTATGGAGGCTGTCAAAATCGAAGATATCGACTTTCTTCAAGTTCAAGTATTTGAGAATAGACACATTTGTTCAAAAATACAAATCCTTTGTAATCATCGGTATATAAATAAATGAGTTTTAGGACTTATATTGAAAAGATTTGACGGTGGAGCATGGTAGACTATACAAGGGAAAAGAAATCATTCATGATACGAAAAATATATTTAAAGTTTGTATTTCCACTCTCAAGCTTGGTGTGTGAAGGATCATGCGCTCGAACAACTGAAGGGTTCATTTTAAGACTCTCTGTGTTTTGTTACTACCTAGAAAAGACGAATCCAGGCACCGTGACCCATATTAAAACGGATCACCTAAACCAATTTCAACTCTTCACTATCACCATTGGTTGTGTGGCAAGTTATAACAAATTATCATCACATTTTATAGACTTATGCTATTATGTGTTCCTATAACCTCTATCAATTATAGATCCTTACGTTTAAGCATCATTTGAACCTATTGATCATTATAGATGGTTCCCGGCTGAAGGGGAAGTACTAAGGCACCATGTTTATCGTGGTTGTTATGGAAGGAAATAACCAACTCCTCCCTTTAGCCTTCGAAGTGGGGAAGACGGAGTCTAGGGATACTTAGACATGGTTTTTAAGGAAGTTGTTGCCATTCATCGGTCATAATGAAAATTTGATAATAATTTTTGATAGGACTACTTCCATTGTCCTCGTCATTCAAATAGTATTCATACATGTGCTTCATAGGCTTTGTAAACATATGACTGAAGACAGAAAAAAAATAAGACATTTAATAAGTTTTTTTTGGAAAACATGTAAAATGTATAAGGAATTAGATTTCAACGAAAAAAATGGTGTCATTATGCCATCTAGTACCTTAAGCATGTAGAAACTAGACAAAATCGGATACGAAAAGTGGGAAATGGCATACTTTCCCAGGGTATGTTATAATGTAATGACGTCTAATTCTATCAAGTTAATGAATGCTTAACCAAACATCCCTACTAAAGGGCTTGTAGCTCACAATATCTGGTGTTGAGAAATTAAGGTTGCGTTTAGTTATGGAAAAACAGTTTTCATTTTCCGTTTTTTGTTTTCTCATTTCAGTTTTCGTTTTCCGTTTTCAGTTTTCATTGGAAAATTTTAAAAACGCGTTTAGTTAAAACTTATTCGTTTTTCATTTTCAGTTTTAGAAAATTAGAAAACGTGTTTAGATGTGTATTTTTCTATCGGTTTTCATTTTTAGAAAACGGTAGCGGTGGTAGGGTGGGCATGGGGACAGTGGCGGTGACGGTAGTGGGGGCAGCGGCGGGGGGCAGTGGTGGTGTCGATGATGGCGACGGTGGTGGTGGTGGTGGCGGTGGCGGTGGCAGCGGCAGCGGGGGTGGCGGCGGTGGTGGTGATGACAGACGGTGGTGGTGGTGGCGGCAATTGTGGCTGTGGTGATGATGGCGGCGGTGGTGTTGGTGATGGGACAGTGGTGGTGGTGGTGGTGATGGTGATGGTAGGTCGGTGATTGTGGTAGTGGTAGTGGTGTTGGGTGGGTGTATGTGTGTGTGTGTGTGTTTGTGTTTGTGGGGGTGAGTTTGGGAGTGAGTGTAGGTAGGTAGGGGTGTGGTGGGTTGGGGGTGTTAAGGTGAGGGTAGGTAGAGGTGGATGGGGTGGAAGTGGGTGTTTATATTTTAGAAAATTTTGGAATTAGAAAAATGTGGAAAACAATGATTATTGGTTTTCCAAAAATTTCCAACTTCTTTGTAATTTTAGAAAACGGAAAATTTTCATTTTCCGTAAAAAATTTAGAAAAATAGACGAACTAAACGTGTTTTCAAAATTCTCATTTTTCTTGGAAAAATTTTCCGGAAAACGGTCCATTTTTCCGCAACTAAACGCACCCTAAGTTTCGGGGTAATTTTCATGCTTAAATTGAGAAATTAAGTTTGAGTCAGTGCTCTTAAAATACTTACAAAAATATTTAGCTATACAACTTACGTTTAGTTATTATGTTTAACCTTTACCAATATATGAATCAATCAAAATATGATAAATTAAGTTAAAATATTTCAAAAAATAAATATATTAATATGATGAATAGAGCTAATAACTGTACATGAGATCCCAGGAAAAATAATAATAATAATAATGATACAGGGGATCAACTGCCAGCTGTCACCTCAATACGGTGGTGGATACCCTCCTGGATATCCATATGGCCGAGCAGAATAAGGATCTGGCGGGTATGGGTATGGGGATGGTGGTGGATAACCACCGGAATTAGGTGGAAACGAGTAGGCGGCAGGTGGTGCAGGATAAGCTCCGGCAGGTAGATATGGTGGTGGATAAGACATGGAAGAATGTGGTGGTGGTGGTGGTGGTGCGGAGTACATAGGGACCTGTGGTGGACCTGAAGCATATGTGGCATAACTGTTTGCATGATTCTGCATATAAAATAAAATACAGTTAAATGCAAAAAAATTAAAAATCCAAGAAATTATAGGACATTGCATGAAAATTGGACTTACATTGACATTGTTATAATGCATTATCAATCGTACCTCACCAGCATATCTGTATAAAATGAGTTTCAAATTAGCAATTTTTTTTATGTTATCAAAATCTTATTCAACTTCTAATAATCATATGCATTAATTAGAACACAAACCTGCCAATTTTAGATTGTAATGGCCAAGAGCTATCATCAAATCCATGAGAAATAACTTTAGCTAATTGTACCCTGAACACCACAACAATGAAGAATTCATCCATAAAACTGATCATATTGAATTGAAGAAAGAACACAGAAAGAAGATGAAAACTGAAAAGGATTAAAGGATTACTTACTTTCCGCTTCCAATAAAGTCATCATGTGAGAGGATGTTGCTATTCCAAACCATAATATTCAACTCTCGTAATCCTTCAATCATGCCATACACGAATTTCTCTTGGAATGTAGGGTTCTTTCCTCCATCTGTTACACAATTAATCCCCAAATTATTTCAAATTAAAACTTGAATCAATTGTGACATCTTCGAGGGCAGATCAATTAAGCAAATGCATGTACAATTCACGAGATTGAGGATGAGATCGGACCTGTGTTTGTACGTGTTCGAGATCTGTTATTCCCGTATTCAACACAAACGTAAGGATCTTGCCTTGAAATCCATTCCGTGTCCTTCAATTTATAGCAGCAAATCACTGAACATCCATGAGAAATCGAAATTAGACACGAACTAAACGTAAATAATTTGTGTAAATACACAGATGATTAACGAATGTGCTGATTAACCTTTTTCCTGCAACATGCAATTACTCAATCAACTTAAAAACGAATGAAGCGAAATTGCACGTACCATTGACTTCAAGGACATTGCCATGGATGCGGTGATTCGCCATTGGTTGATGATGATGATAACTTGCCGATGGAATCGAAGGTTGATTATTATACATGGGAAATTATATTGAAAAAGAATGATGATTGAATTCTTCTTTTATAGCATTCCAATCTCTGCGTAATTGTTCTACCTCTTGGAGTAATTGAGCGCGTTTATCAGATAATTCCAGGAAATTGATGATTTAGTTGAAATTGTGCGAGGATTCGATAAACCCTAGCTTGATCCTTCGTAGGAACACGCACGACTCGCTAAATTCGCTGCCTTGTCAAAAACGAGTATATGAAGGTTAGAGATTAATTTGACAGATATTCGTATCTTTGACCGATTAAACGACCGTTTTTTTTTATTTAAGTTTTTATTCTTTTGTACATTACAAACTATTATTAATATCTTTTGTAATTGGTTAGATTCATTTGGATAACGTTTATATTATAAAACACGTTTAAACACATTCACCCCCAAACTTTCCGATCATTTCCAAGAGCACAAAATCAATTAAAACATAATTAATCATAGTCCAACATCAAGTCAACAACTACCAAATTCCACAAGAAATTACGAGCTTTCATAAGAAGTTTATAACATCAAATCTACTTGCATTGACAATTATTTCGACAATTTTCAAGTACCTTACAAGAAAATAAATCAAACTTACAACCAAACCCACCCTAGAAACTTGGGTATGAACGAGGATTGAATAGAATATTCTAGTGTAAGACCAAAGGATGAATAGAATAACCTTTAAAGCATCTAACGTCATCCACAACGAGGGTTGAATAGAATATAATTTAATATAATATAGAAGAGAGAATGTGGAGTTCAATGTATATTGAACTCATCATGAGATATTCTAGTGTAAAACCGAAGGGTGTGGGTGCGGTTTGGCCGCATCTTTGCCACTATGGTAGGGAGAACACCACGCCCACCCAATGGTTTTCACTGTAGTCTCGCCGCACACGGTTAGTTTTGGTTGCACTTTTCTTTCTCTTGCTTTCTCTTTTTTCCAACATTGAACGGTCGTTTTTTTAAAATTCGAATTTATTATTATTATTTTTTTTGTAATTTTTTTACCTATAAATAAAACCTTACAACCCTTAATTTACCAAACTTCAATCCAATTCTTCTATCTTTTACTCTCCTTTTTCAAAAACTCTTAACATGTTTTCTTTCAACAACCCAAAAAAAACACTCACTAGAAACATCCCAAGACCTTCTTACGATCAACCAATTTATTCGTCTCCGCTTTATCACTATGGCGGTATGCTACCGTATTATCCGCACCAATTCCCACAACGACCAACACAATCACAAACCGTACCCGATATAGATTTTAATCCGTTTGATTTTTTTTATCTCAGCCAAAATTTGTTCAATAAACTCAAGCACCCATTTTCGATTCTGAACCTGAAATCGTTCGAGAAACTTAACCCATCCAAGCACCAAGTAAAAGAAAATATAAGACGGCGACCAAGGGATGGGAACCCAAAAAAGTGTTAGTATTGGCACAATCATAGATCGATATTTTAGAAGATGCGAAAACTAGAAAAGACCAAAAACATGACCATTTTTTTAGGCGAGTTACAAAAAGGTTCCACAAAGAAATTAAGCTTCCAGAGTATCGTTCAAAACATCAAGTGTACTCCAAATAGGGGAAGACAAACAAGGAAGTCATGTTGTTTAATGATTTGTATAACAACGTGAAACGTCCATGGAAATGCAGAAAAAGTGATGAAGTGATTTTGAAGAAATATCTAAAAGTGCACCATCAAGAAAATAAGAAGGCGTTCAAGTTTATTGAGTTTTAGAATATCGTGAAAGATAACAAAAAATGGAAAATGAACAAAACATCCGACAAGCATATCGATAGCGGTTCAAGTGTACCATCAAGAAAATAAGAAGGCGTTCAAGTTTTTTGAGTTTTAGAATATCGTGAAAGATAACAAAAAAATGGAAAATGAACAAAACATCCGACAAACATATCGATAGCGGTTCAAGTGTACCATCAAGAAAATAAGAAGGCGTTCAAGTTTTTTGAGTTTTAGAATATCGTGAAAGATAACAAAAAATGGAAAATGAACAAAACATCCGACAAGCATATCGATAGCGGTTCAAAGCGCTCAAGAACATCTGAATCTGACCACACTACATCAGATGCTCATGTTGGGTTCGACCTCAACGATGATGAACCCGTGTTACACCACCTTCCCGACCAATAGGAAGGGACAAAGCAAAACACAAAGACAAAGGCAAAGCGGTAGATTCGGATGACTCGAAAGAAATGGGGGACGATATGAAGGGTATAAAAAAAAGAATGGACAAATTTTTGCAAATTGCGTCCGAAAGAGAGTTTCGAAGATAAAGGGATAGTGACATGAAAGTACTAATGATGGGCACGCCGCACATGAACGGGGAGGAACTTGAAATTGTTTTTGGGATGAAAGCCGACGTTAAAAAACGTTATGTTAAGTAGGTTTAAAATTTCTAGTTATATTTAATCAGTTGTTGTGTGTTTTTTTTTATGTTTGTAGGTTTAAAATTTCTAGTTATTTTTATTTTTTAAGTATTTAGAGCTATTATATTTTCATGTTATGTTTTTTTTAAGTAATGAAATGTTATATTTTTTATTTTTTAAGTAATGAAATGTTATTTTTTTATTAAAAATGAAGTTTTTATTTAAATTATATTGTTAAAAAATATATATATGGCACCACACGTGGTGTGCGGCAAAGAAACCATACTTTTGTGGTAAAAGTGATATGTCAGTGATGTGTCAGGAGAAAAAAGTGTGGTTTTTATGGCACAACACCATCCATCCTAAAATGGTGGGGTTTTAAGAAAAGTTATTTTTTCTAGTTATGACATCATTCAAGTCTTGAAAAGTTGAATGGATAATGGATGTCCTAATATTGTTCTGAATGCAAGAACTTCTTCCTTTTTGCCTCTACGTCACCATGATCTAAATTGGCAACTTTGCCCTCTTCTTTTGGTAAATTTTGAAACATCCCACTTGATCAACTTTTTATCTGTGTCACAACCATTGTAGAATGGTTTCGACTAACAAGATGAGAAATATACAAAGTCATGGTTGCCACAAATGACATTGCACATGGTACAAATCCATAAAGCCTCAAATGATGCTCCTTTTGCAAAATATTCTATCTATTTGTATTTACATCCTCATCACTTCCCACTCTTTTTGTCTTTAGGTAACTTCCATCTAAATTAACAATTTTTCCCTCTTTTTTTGTGAACTTTTCAACACTCCAATTAATCTAGTTTCTATGTGTTTCATCATTACATGTTGCTTTCGACCAGCAAGATGAGAAAAATACACAATAGGGCTAGTAGAAATGACATTGGACACGTTACAAGTGCTTAAAGCATCAAATGTTGTTCCTACTTGCAAAATCTTATACATGTTTGACTCCATATCATCACTTCCCACTCCTTTGTCTTCAAGTAACTTACATCTAAATTGACAAGTTTGTCCTCTTTTCGGTGAGTTTTGTAACATCCCAGTTCATCCCGTTTATGTATGTTTCACAACCATTGTACCATTCCTCTTACTAGCAAGATGAGAAATATACAGAGTAGGCAACTACAAACGACATTACATTCACGTAGGATGTGAGACCTTGAGAGTGATTCATGATATTCATATGGGATTTTATTTTATTTCAGAGTGATTAGATTTCTAGATAATCATCATTATACACAAGCAAGGCCGCTACCTTTTGTTTGATGCTTCACAAGTCACCTGGTAAATTTTGAATGGACATTGGAACTATCTAAGGTGTTATCTTTATGACACATGAGTCCTATTATTGAACAGGATTTGAAAGTGTGTCGTTTTGGTTGAAATCAATACATGAGCCCCATCTAACCATCTATGTATGTGAGCTTGGACTTTTATGAGATTGACTTGAGATTGGGATAGATACATATTGCATTATTACTTGTCGACTAAATAATCCCTTTGAAATGTTGATTTATATGGGATTGATTTAACTTTTTAGCTAACCATTATTGGAATATTTGAATATGTTGGAACTTGGAAATTTATTTATGGGTTACTAAACTTTTTTTGGTTTTGGATTATGAGTATATTTACCCTTTCACTTTGGATTTTGAGTCATTAAACCCTTTTCACTTTGGATTATGGGTTACTAAACCCTTTGTCTTCGGATTACGGGTTGTTACACCTTTTTGACCTGTAATAAGAGTTTACAATCTTGACATGTATTCATATTGAAGACTTAGAAGAGTAACGAGGGTATTAAACGTGTGGTACATTTGAACTATGTTATGATATTGGATTGATGTTAAATCCCTCTTTTAAACCTATAATTGATTTGGCAACTTTGTGACCGTTATTTTTGCAATTAAAACTTTGAATCTTTGGATTTATAATAAATGTTTTTAAAAGGTTGTTTTTTAAAAATGAGAATGGAATTAGAACAGTCCAAAATAAGTAGTAGCATATAGTTACTAGTTAGTGTTTCATCAAGAAAACCAAGAAAGTCATTGTGGTCCATATTCACCAAAATCGACATCACTAAACGTTAATATTGTAGGGTCTACAAAGGTCACAGGGTTTGGAACAAAGACATTTGTAATGTATGTCGATAGTCAACGATTGTGAATGACTAGCACCAACATCCATGGAAGTTGTCATCTTGAATGCATAGAACTATATTGTTATTATGATTAGGGTTTCAAAGTCCCCTATAGCAAAAAACCCATGAAAAAATTAAACCAAATTCCACAAGAAATTACCAATATCACATCAACAATTATTCTCATACAAGAAAATAATACATCAACTTACAATCAATCAAACCCACCCATATAACTTTCATCGAGTTTTGTAACCTGGGTATGAACGAAACTTCAGAATAAATGAAATAAAAGTTATTAAAAAAAAAACATTAAAATACGTTCAAATTCCATTTTATATACAACCAACCACATTTCCACAAGTCTCTTTCAATTCTCAATCACTTTCATAATCTTCATCATCATCACCAAATGTAAACACAGATGCATCAGCCGCCATTGCCTTGAAATCACTCACCTCTCCGGTCATCTTTTCCGGTACACCGGAATCACTTTCCGGCTTCCTGGCCGGAATCGGAGTCGGAGTCGGAGTCGGAATCACATTTCCTATCGACAAATTCTTCGTGTCATTTGACAATTTTGCAACTTTCGGATCGGACTCGGTGTCGGAAAACACCTCGTCATCTTTTTCGGAGTCTTTTGTGGTGGTGGCGGCTGGTGGTGGTGGATCTGATGTTGTACCCTCAGCTGGTTTGGTTGTACTTTCGGTTTCGGGTTTTGGTTGGGTGGTGGTGGTGGTGGTGGTGTTGTAGTCCACCACCACGACTTCAACTTGAAACCCGGGAGATGGTAACTTTCTCTGTTGATAATTTAATGGAATTTAGTAAAAGTATTAAATATATAAGAAAAATGTAAAAAAATTAAAATAAAAATAAAAATAAAAAGTTACCTTATCAAATCCATCAAGGTCATTTGTGGTTAGAATCTTTCTGTTTTCAATCATTGTTGTGTTCAGCCAGCTTCATATATACAAATGAAAAAAAAACATCATGGATTGAGTTTTTGTATGAAACTTTTATATTATATGCAAGAGTAATTTACATTTTTGACCCTTTAAGTATAGCTGATTTTTCAATTTTAGTCCCAAAAATATAGTCATTGTGATATATGAGAATTTTATGTTTTTACCAGTAGAAATCGCCTTGACGATCATGGAAAGTAACTTTAAAATCACCAGATAATTCGGTCAATCCGGGCTCTCCGGGTAGCGCAAAGACCATTATACCCTTTCTTGGAGCAGAAAACCAAAAATCTTCAGGCTGGTTCAAAAACAGTCCAGTGAGGGTATATAAGTCAAAAAGACCATATACATTTTATTTTGTAAAAACTACAAAGAAACATACCGATAGATCCTTGGTTCTTGGATGCTTCTTGGTGGAAAAAAGAACACCTGCAACCAAAAAGAGAAATGTTTCCTAACATGGAATGGAATCACAAACAAATGGAACGGAATTGATCATTACATTCCATTATCAATTATCATGTTAGTAGTTACCATTATGATCTGAGATAGAAATGGAGGGCCTAATCCAATATGGACACCTATGAAGGCGAAATCCTCTAAGCATACACCTACACAATAATAATAAAACTCAATTAAACTATTTAAAAAAAAAAAAGAAAAAAAAAAGAAATTAAAGAGAGAGAGAGAGATATATAATATTTAATGTGTACCTGCGCCCCGGCTGATCTTCTCCATTAAAGTATGTCATAACACGTTCAAAGTATTTGACATACCTCTATGTTAAAAAAAGACGAAAACGGACATATCAGATATATGTTTTTTTTTTTAAATTAAAAAAAGAAAAAAGATTCGACTTACTATTTGACTTGGAAGAACAAGTCCTTTTCCATCAACACATCTTTTTTGGTTGTAATATGATATAGACTCCTCAGCTGTGGGGAAAAACTGCAGGGAGAAGTAATAACAATTGATATGATATACAGTTTGTATGAGGGGTAGTTTGGTAAATTGAAGAGTTGGTACCTTGAGATATAAAAGAAGACTTGAAATCATTAAACCTGTTCTTGCCATTCCAGCCTTACAATGGACAACTACAACATTTTCAATGTCCTCTTTTAACCATGCATATGCACTATGGCAAAATGATATTATCAGTTGAATTGGAGGGCAATTATGGTCATCAAATGGAAAACTAGCAACCTGCAAAAAATATATTAAATGGGACTAATTTAAGAAAATGATGAAATGATTTAATTAACAAAAACATAAAAGTACAAGTAGGTTGACTTTTTGACTTGTTGACTAACCTTCCCTTCAAATAGTGATGCATCATATAGCCTCTCAGAGCAAAGATTGTATACCTTGTACTTATCCTAACATCCACAAATTATAAAAAAGAGAGCTAAATAAAATTGGAGACTAAATGTAAAAACACAAAGTTGTTACCTTGTGATATGTTTCAAAGAACCTAATGACTTCCTCCATGTGGTTACGATAAAATCCCTACACAAAATTTCAAATATTATCAACAAAACTATTTCATTACTTGAATACTTGTGCTAATGATAGTTAAGTTGATGATAAAAGATTAAAAGTTAAAAGCACTCTGTGAACTTACCTCAACATATCCAAAGAAGCCTGAGCTCATATCACCAGCAGGAAATCCCATAGCAATAATATTCTCAGTAATGTAAGTCATATCTAAATCAAATCCCCCTTCCTGTAACCAATATAAAGTAATGTCAGAAGCCCATATAGAAAGATGAATCACAGAAAACTTATATAGAGATAAGATATATAGATAATACATTAATACCTGATATCTTCTTTTGTTTTGTGATACAACATGGCGAGCTTTGACTTGGACAGCTTTGACTGCATTTTTGGATGTGTCTACAAAACCTTTGGTGATTGTTCCAAAAATGCCAGGTTGAGGTGTAGTTGGAGCTCCATCAGGACTAGGAGTATGAGTATCATCTTGTTGAGGAGTTTTTGGGGATAATCGCAACCCAAGTCCACTAGTCAAACGAGCAAACCTTCCAGTGTTTTCAGATGAAGAAGATTCATCTTGTGTGCCTCCTAAAGGTTGTGGAAGTTTCAGACTTTTGGCCCATGTAGTTATCCCAGAAGCAGATAACTTTGATGGTGAATCTTGTGCAGAATCATTTCTAGGTTCCACTGCTGCAGTGGGTTGTGGATTTGAGTCTTTCACAGGTGGCGATGGATTAGCAGATTCTGACTCCATTTATGTATCAAATTGAGAGTCCGACCTTCAAATTCCTTCAGAGTAGTAAATTGGCTACTGTTTGATTGTTCTGTAGAAATCAAAACGATATTATATGTTATTCAAAAGTGGCGAAACAGATGGATTTATGTGTATCTGTAAACTTGGATAAAACCCTAAAAGTTTCTAGTTGCTAAGCTGTCATAAAATTAATCACAGAGTCTTAAAATTACACAACACGATTGGCACAATGAGCAAGTGAGATTTTCGTTTCTTAAAAGAGTGTAAAGTCATTTTCCCCAATCCACGGATCCAGAAATCCAGAGTATTTTAAAATTAGCAAAGTCTACTAAGGAAATTTCTTCTGATCTGCAACCCTAACGAAATATAAAGAAATAAATTGCATACTTCTGTATACAGAGATACATAACACAACTACAAATAGGTTAATTCACCATGTGGAACAGTCGGTTATGTATCGATGAATCTACAAAGAACAAATTTAGCTCAAATCTTACGGGATGAAGTGGTATCGGATCGTCTGAGTAGTTAGGAGTAGAGAACGGTGGTTTCCGGTGTCTTGTGGGAGGTTTTCGGCGGCAGTATCAGTCGTCGTCTTCTTGGTTTGCGTTCTATGTGCTATGAGATTGAATGAGGCTAAAAGAATACGTGGATTGACTGTTACTTATTTGCTCTAAAGTCCTTCGATTTAGTTGTTTTATATATCGACCCATAAGATACTTTATATTTGGAGTATTAGCTAATAGCTGAAAAGCTAGCTGTTAACTAAAAGGCTAGCTGATAAAAAATAGCGTTTGGTAAACCTAGCTGAAAAGCTAGCTGAAATATATAAAATTACATAAAAGGACATGTAAAAGTATGTGTTTTTATAATTAATTAAGGGGTGTATTTGAAAAATTTTTAAAAAGCTCCTAAAAAGCTAGTCTAAGTAGCTTTTCAAAAAGCTAGTTTATAAGCTACTTTTTGGCTTACCAAACACGACAACATAAAAAAGCTCAAAAAATAAGCTAGTTTATCAGCTAGCTGTGGCGCGCCAAACATAACCTAAATAATAGAAAAAATATCAAATTCAATATTATGATTGATAAAAAAGTTAAATACTTACTATTTAGGTTGTGTTTGGCGCGCCACAGCTAGCTGATAAGCTAGCTTAAATATTTATCGTGTTTGGTAAGCCAAAAAAGTAGCTTATAAGCTAGCTTTTTGAAAAACTACTTAGACTAGCTTTTTAGGAGCTTTTTTAAAATTTTCCAAATGCACCTCTTAATTAATTATAGAAACACATGTCCTTTTATGTAATTTTATATATTTCAGCTAGTTTTACCAAACGTTATTTTTTATCAGCTAGTTTTTTATTTAACAGCTAGTTTTTCAGCTAACAGCTAGCTTTTCAGCTAGTACGTCAAACATAGCCTTAGTATTTACCGAAATAAAAATAATATAGTTCATTATTGTTTGCCAAATTTATTTTTAAAAAGAGAGAAATAATGTGGTTTATAGAGACGGTAAAAACGAACATGACATGTTAACACAAAAACAAAATAAACAGATTTATGTAAGAGATTTCAATTTGTTAAGTAACAGGTTGACACAACATAAAAACTTAAAAAAAAGTAAAAATAAGGGTAGGGTAACACACTTTCAATCTATTAGGTTACAAACGCGGCATGGCATGATAATGTATATTTTTTAATATGTAAACTTTAAGTCCATTAACTCAACACAAAATGAATGAGTTTGGGTAAAAGATTTCAACTTGTTTAAAGTAAACAGGTTGACAGGACACGAAAAATAAATAGGTAAAGTTAAGACGTGATTCAATCCGTTTGATTTTCAACATGGTGTTGGATGACAAGTTTACAATATTTTTTGTTAGGTGTATTGATATAAAATGACAAACTTAGAGTACTAATAGTCTTCCATAAATTCCACAAATTTTAGAATAGATATGTATGTCCTTATCCATGCACTTCAACTATGTTATTGTCATTTTGTTCAATTCATTATTCATATAAACAATAACCTAACACATATCATAAATATTATTTCACATCACACCTACATAGCTTTGTTTCTTGCGCAGAATATTTTCCAATTACATATTATTATACATTATATCAATGAATTGTACGCCCATAAAAACATATGTGGAATGTCATAAACAAAATGATGTCCTATTAGTTCATTTATAGCTACAATTGTCTTTTTTAAAATGACAAGTTGTCACAAACTTGAAACATGTATGAGTCGAACATAAGACAATAAGACAATTCATTTTAAATGCTTAAGTTTATATTTTTCATGCTAGCTTAAAATCTAGCCGATAGATAAGCTAGTTGATAAAAAAAATTATATACGGTATAAACTAGTTGATATCTAACTAGAAAATATAAAATTACATAAGGTATGTAGAATAATAACTCATTATCATAAGACAAACATACAATCCATTTAATTAAATTAAAGTGAGTATTAAATAATAGTTTTATGCTTATTTATGTTTAAATGAAACTCTTTGCAACATATTTACAATATTATTATACAATTCTTGTATTTCATTGTGTCACTCACGAATGTTATGATGACTAAATCTTGAATAATTATTTATTTCTTTTGTATGTACGTGATCACTATGTTGTTGAATAATATTAAAAATCATATACGTCAAAGTCGTTCCTTCAAATATAAATATAAAGGTTAAATGTCATCGTTATCACATATATTTGAGTATCCTCACTATATTCTAGCATTTTGGTCAATATTTTCACATCTTCTTCAACACTCAACACACGAACGTTTGGTGCAACTTCGAAGAGATGATTGTACATGAATGAAAACCTCTTGATCGCTTACTATAAGCAAATATTCAATTTGTAAATTATGATGTATAATATGTGAATATAATGCCAAATATCTCGTTGTTAAGGTATCATATGTCTACTATGTAATATTTCCATATATGAAAGAAAGATAAAAAAATATTTAAATATTGGCTAGATAAAAATTATAAACAAAGATCAAAGTGGTTCTGGGCTTTAAAACATTCATAGATCTCAGTTGCTTGAGTTTTTTATAATTAATAAAATAATATTTAGAAAGATTAAAAAAATCCATAAACTCGTTAAAAATGCTGGTTTGAGTATTTGTTTTTTTTTTTTTAAAGTTAGTTCCTAACCTACATATTGATTTGCCAAAGACAACCTAAGAAAAAAAAAGTACAAAAGTAAAAGTAAAATAAATAAATAAAATAGATGCACTTTGTCAAACATTGCCTAAATCCCAACTTACAAAAAACGTAACATTGCATAAGTGTTGCACGTGGTCCTACTTGCCACAAAAATTATTCTAGCTTTTGCTCTTATCTACATGAACAATGACTTAAATACATAAACTTCCACTTGATGGATACAATATTTTGCTTAGCACAATATAAATTAACAATATATGCTTTACGTAAAATCATGTTATGCATGTGTTATGCTTGCAATGCTTAACAAACACAAACTCATGCTTATAATAAAATTAGTTTAGCTTCCAAGCATATTATTTTTGTCCATTATTTTTAGCACACCACTTTTATTTGTCATCATATCCTGCTGTTTGGTTTCGACAAGGGAGACGATACATTTATGAATGTGTGCTAGACGTTCGGTTAAAAGTTTTACATGTCAAAAACAAAATACTTGCACTCGGAATAGATATATTCATGAATACATATTAAACTTTCACACTACTAGAAAAAAGACTTTTTTTTATAGACGAATTACGACGTACACCAATTTTATGACATATATAAAATGTTTGTCATCAAAATTATGTCATAGTTTGTAAAATATCAATGATTTACAATAGATAAATATGTCCGTCGATTTATTTCGTATTTTAATATCTAAAAATTGTAGAAAAAAAAAACACGGAGTATTTTTATTGTCTAAATTAACTTTTTTTATGAGTTAATATGATAAGGTATCTCATATTTCACTAGAAATATAAATTTATATTTTCTATTGTATCAATTTTTTCATCAAATTTAGTACCCAAGCTACCTCTCACCATCCTTTTTCCTTGGTTATTTGGTATTATTCTCCGTCCATACAATATTTTATATTCATTAAAATAATAGTAATAATAACAATAATATAATAATTATGAAATAATCGTTAAAAAAATGGTGATTTAACTCACCATGTTTGTCTCCAAAATAACCTATCAGTGTTAATTTGTTTTTTATTCCTCACATTCGCCGTTTTTCCATGGTGTTATCCGTTTTGTTCCCGAGTTTTACTTAAGGGTGATATGAATGGATATGGAAGGAATGTGAGGGATGTCGAAGGAAAATCGTGTTCCCGAGTTTAATTAATGGAAGAAAAGTGAGGGGAAGGAAAAGATTTTGGAGTTATATTTCCTTCCAAATTTTTTTCCCAAATTGAGCGGATACGGGAAGAAAACAAGGGAAGGAAAATCTTTTAGTTTTATTTATTTTCCTTTCTAACTTGGGAACACAAAAACTTCAAAATTTTGTTTCATTTCCTTCGAACTCAGGAACATGGAATAAGGAAAATTTTATTTCCCCTCCCTTTCTTTCCGTCAATATTTTTTTTCCCTTGAATTTACAAATAAAAAACTCGGGAACAAATCTTAAAAGCCCTCGTACTGATACCCTGTTCGTTCAAAATCGTCAACACCACGAAAACTCAAACGAAGAGCAAACGTCGATCAATTATGTTTGATGCGCTCAAGAAATTGACTGGCTAACTCGCCACATGTAGGGGTGTTCACGGGGCGGTTCGGCTCGGATAGTAATAAAATTGTGAACCATGATCACGGAACGGGTACCTTACATGCACTAACCAAAACCGAACTGCATTGTACAAAAACCTGAACCGAACCGTGTGAAGGCGGGTAACCACGGTTCGGTTCACTGTTACCCAGTAAATAAGTAAATATAAAAAAAACAAAATTAATCAAAAAATATATATAAACTAAATTCAAGTCAATTGTAAAATATTCTTTCAAAACAAAATCATCCAAAACAAAACAATTCAACAAGAGATATTTTAAAATTGTTTAAGACTAGTTTGATAACACAAAAAAACATCCATAATCCCTTCAACAAAACAAAAAACAGCAGCAAATCATCTCAAAATCAGCACCAAACCTGCAAAAAAAAAACAACATTTAGTACAAATAGCAACAAAAACACACACACGCACATATAAAACAGTATAAAAACAGCACAAAAAACTGTACAAAACAGCTCAAAAAACACAAAACAACGCTAAAAAACTGCACAAAACAGCACAAAAACCACACAAAACAGCTACCAAAATGTAAGGTACCAAAATTTTGTGAAAGAAAACAAAACAGAAGGGGAAAAGTCGAGAAGTGATGAAGGTACCAAAAATTTGACAAAGAAAAATCAAGAAATCAAACCAGGGAAAGGGAATATCGAATTACCGAGTAGGCGAGTACCAAACGACGGCGAATTGGCGATGGAAAGAACAACGTCGTTGTAACGACGTCATTGGTGAGAACGATGGCGGAATTTCGGCGAGGTGGCGAGGAATGGTGTGACTGTGAGTCGGACGATGGTTGATCGTTGTTTGAATTTCGGCGACGTTGTTTGAATTATGGGTCTATCTCAATCTCTCGCTTCCCCGCGACATCCTGAAGCTTGACGAGGGTATTGTATCTTTGGGTAGACACAAACTCCCGAATCTGGGTCTTGAGCATGCTCAAGTATCGTGACATCTAAGCCTACTCCAATGAAGCATACTCAGGACAAAAAAGAGCCATCTCAGTAAACATCTTGGTGATCTTCGTCGCCATCTCTGTCGCCTTCCTCAAAGAGAGATACTCCTGAGCCAACCTCTCTCTTTCTCTCTCCTCCAAGGGAACATACATAGTGCATAACATCTTAGAGAATTGCTCCCAAGTCACTGCAGCCTTCTCCGCTGGAGAATAAGTACCTTTTGCTAGCATCCACTAATCCTTCGCCCTAACCGAAGAAGGTTCATGGCGTACTTAACCTTCTGGTCATTCGGGCGCGAACGTGTGAATAAGCAACCCTCCACATCAGACAACCACCTCATTGCCACAATCGAGTCCTTGAACCCGTCAAACTATGGGGGATTCGTGTTGCTGAAGTCTCGGTAATGTAATAACCTCCCTCCTGAATCCCTGCAGCAGCAAAGCCACGGTAGCTGCTACAGCAGCAGCCTCAGTCACAGTGGCGTACCGATCATCAAACAGCTCAATCATAGCGGTCTTAATAGACCCAAAACCTCGGGGATGGCACCCCAAACAACAGCAACTACCTCAGTAGCGATCAACTCACGGATGTCATCATCTGTCAATCCCAGCCTATTCTAGCCACCGAATCCTCTCGTGAACACCATACTGAAAATAAACCAAAATATATCATAAATTCCCCACTTCATACTATTTCAATCATTATAGAGAGACTAAACCCTCGTGGTTTGTGACTTCCTCGCTACGCGTACGGATCATGTGCTTTCACTAGTACAGGCTCATACTATCTTCCACACCTACCTGTATTTGTATCAATGTATCATCACAAACTACCCGAAATAAACCCACAACTAGGATACACATACATCCTATACTCACTCTCTCGAAAGTGGCTAATCACTCCTCGTCTGGCCAGCTGCTCACATACTCACTCATGAAACTTCCACTAACCCTGCTGCCACTCGTGCATGCTAATCACACATAACGTTGTATTCCATAGACAGTCGAATACTTGAATCTACCCTAAGACCACAACCAAACAAGGAACATGAAATAAGGATAAACCAAACACTCTCAGACTATATAATCGTAGTTATGTATAACTATGATGCACACACTAAGCAACTATAGTAATGATGTCAATTTTATATAACATACAAGAAATTCTCCTAAGCTAACATGCATCATACATCAGACAATGGTAGCATGCAATTCCTGAAGATCCATAGTCTACCACTAGCATGTAGTTCTATTATAAACATCATAACAAATAACAATGTGGGTATCTTGGGGTATATTTTCTTGCTTCGGCTGATCGTACACATCTCATACTTCTTGGTCATCCTCGAAACAATTTTTGAAAACAATTTTGGAACTTATTTAATAACTTTTACAAATCCATAGTTTAAGTCTGGATTCATACGAATACGAATACTCATCCAATTCACTAAAACTAGGGCTCTGAAACCAACTTGTAACATCCTAGAAATCACAATAAAAAATTTCATTTTAATTAAAGTAAAATCATTGTTTTCAACCAAAACCCAAGTCATAAGAAACCAATGTCAAGTACAAATATTCCAAAATCAATGTATCATAATAAATCCAAAACATGTCGCCGAAGGATGTGTACGATCACACCTTTGCTTTTCCCCGATCATCTGATGTACTTTAAACATAAAACTTAAACTGTAAGCCAAAGCTTAGTGAGTTCCCAAAAATACTACCACACAAATGTATAATAACATGCATATTGGGCCCACAACCATCGAGCTAGATTACCCCTGAGCCCACAACATGAGTCTGGCTTGCCTTTCTGGCCCACAGCTCAAGTCTGGATTACTCCCGAGCCTACAACATAAGTCTGGCTTGCCTTTCTGGCCTACAACTCTGGCTTGCTCTCGAGTTTATTGGCTTCCGTACAGAGCAGTAGTTGCCTCAACCCAACTGTACTATGTCGACATATGCAACAAATAAACATATAACTAGCAAACAGATAATCATGTAGATCTAGCAGATCACAACAGCATATCAACATCCTATATACCGGGATACATAACTGAATGGGTCGGCATTGGTGCCTTCGACCCACAAGTATAGTGAGGAAACTCACCTTTCAGTTTGACAAGAGAGCAAAAAAGAACATTGCTCCAAATGTCAACTTTACAGGTCACCTATACAGAAAAGAGTGACCTAGACTTAATTTACAACTCAAATACCCAAAATGCCCCTAAGTCAAACTTGGTCAAAATTCTGGTCAAAGGTCAAAAGTTAAAAGTCAAAAAGTCAAAGATTCCTTTTGGGATGCGTACGCCCTATGTACTCCTCTCTACGCCCAACATAGAGGGGTGCCTTCACAAACCACAAGCTTGAACCCTGGTACTCCCAACGTACTAGAGCTAAATCTTAACTTTTCCATTAAGCTCTTATTTCATTGAGACAAAGCACCAAACTTCATATCCAAATATCAAGGGACGTCTTAATGGATAAAGTCTCTAACTTTATCCATTTGCATGTATTCAAGAGGGTAAAAACTCAAACCCTTGGTCCAAAAGTCACCAAAAACTCCCAAACTCTTGTATGGCTTAATGAGAGTGCCTATGCTCTCTTTTTTATGAATCTAGAATCTTAAAACTACAGGAAACTACATTTCAAGGACCTGGAGTAGCCCATACTCCATTAGACTAAACTATGGGACCAAAAATGCATACAATCTCTAGACTAATAAGATCTAAGCAAATGACACATCAAGATCCAAGCTTTATACCTCCAAATGAAGCTCAAGAGCAAGATACTTCTGGATCCAAGATACCTTGAGCTTCCAAGTTGATTCCACTTCTTTCTTCTTCCTTCAAGATCACCAAAAACACACTTTCAAGCTAAAAATGTTCACACAATGGATTATGGTTAGTAATGGACGATTTGGGAGATGGAGGCTGATGAGGGAAGAGGTCTTAGAAAGATAATGATGCTTAAATAGGGCTCAAACCCTAAAAATTAGGGTTTGACCCTCAGCTACTTACGCTCGACGTAAGTTGTAGTACGCTTAGCGTACTAGGCACACGCACGATTTCCACTTAAGGAGCCAAGGGACCAATTTTGCAAAGAAATTTCATATTAAGGGAATAAATGTGAAATACCTGGATCAAGGTGTTACAATTACAATGTTTCATATGAACTAAAATACACAAATCAATAACCGATAAACTAAAAACATGAACAAAGTGAAAAAGATACGTTAAAAATCTTACGATAATCGCAGTAAACAATATTTCTTCAACACAATGCCAATTTTAGACACCTCATTTATTCACGCAAAAAGACCGGTTACAATGCATATGGAAAATCAAAAGCTATCATTACAAACCCAAATCTAACCTATAACCGCAACCAACTAAAGAGCCACCTCCAATTAAGCGGTATGTCAAAAAACAAAGGTAGTCCAAAGGTGATTATTCCAAAAATTAAGCTTAATTAGGCACTCTAATTGTAACACCCGATTCCTGGTACATATTTAAATTCAAGAAATGTTGAAATTTACTCTGGGACTCGGTGAGTTGGAGGCCCAACTCGTCGAATAAACTCGACTGTTGATCGGGGGTTTAAGTGACCTACTCGACGAGTCGGAAGACCGACTCGACGAGTAGGAGTTGTCTGGACAAAACCCTAATATTTAGGGTTTGCACCCTATTTAAACAACTTATCCCATATCAGCCTCCATCGTCCCTCACACATCCAGAAGACCTTAAGCTGAAACCCTAGTATTGTTTGAGTGCTCTTAAGCCATTTTTGTGCATTTTTGGTGATTGTGAAGCTTGAGAATAAGGAAGGAGCTTGGCAGTTCAAGTTGAAGCTAGAAGATCCAGAGATTGTGTTCCATTTCCAGCTCAGTTAAGGTAAAAAGCTTCATTCTTGACTTCCCATGTGTTTAATCAACTTAGGGCTTGGATTTTGGTACCTTTAGGGCATTTCTAAGCCATTTTCGGGTTGTGGGTGTAATGTGGAGATATGGCTTCAAATCTTGGACTTTGGAGGGTTCTCATGGCATAAAGGTGCCAACTTTATGGCCATGAGAGACCCATGCATCTTGTAGACCTCTTTTTTGGCTTTTTGAGCCAAAGGCCCCATGCATGTACATAAAGTTCGAAGCTTTACGTATAAAATGGACCCTAGGAGGCCAGATCTATGGTTTTGACGCGTTAAGACCCATTATAATCGACTGTATAGTTTTGGACATAGAGGGACTCCGCGATTCGTTCTTGGGACTCAACGAGTCGGGGTGTATTTTCCACCAAAATCCTTTCTGTTATGGACCAGTTATTAAGATCGAAGGTTCCCCCAGTTGTTTAGGTACACTATGGACCTGGGAATCATAGGACTCGGCGAGTGGATGAACAGACCCGGCGAGTTCAAGGCAATGTCCCAGCCACATGAAGACGGACTCGGCGAGTTCAAAGGGAACTCGGCGAGCCATAAGCTAAACATCTTCTTATGGATGAAGATGAACGCGGCGAGTTCAAGGACGAACTCGGCGAGTCGGTTGAAGATTGTCCGATATGTTGCTGAAGGCGAACTCATCGAGCTCTTGCTAGACTCGACGAGTAAGGACGGGATTATGGCTTTTGTGGATATGGGGACTCGACGAGTTGACGAGCCAACTCGGCGAGTCGAGTCAACCAGATATTGACTTTGACCAAAAGTTGACTTTGACCATGGATTTGACTTTGACTTTGACTTGGATTGAGTGACCCTTGTAAGGGTTACGAGTATGAGT